AGAGCCGGGCTCACCTCCTCACAAAAGCGTTCCCGATGTGGGGTCCCACGGTGCACAGCTGGGGACAGGCACGTCTGGAAATGCCCTGAAATTATCCTCAAGGTCCCGTGTGCCATGTGCTCTCATCCGAGTAGACCGTGTACAGCTTCCAGAAGATTCTTAAGGCAAAATGAGGGTACATTCCTCAGTACTTTCTAAAGAATCACGAAGCTGATGCGATGCGAGTTTGGACTTCTGGAACATGGGAAGAGAACGGACCTCTCACCCAGCCCGAAACCTACAGAAATTTGGCAAAGTTAAGATGAATAAAGAGTCCAAGTACCTTAAAAAATACTCCTGTCGGGGAGAGCAAAATCCACCTCCTGAAACAGAGAAACTGCCAAGCACCATCACTAGCGAGTGCAAGGAGAACCCGCGCAGCCTGCAAGAGGGCGCAAACCCGTCAGTGCGAGACCCGGTCGCCGCACCTGCGGGCGCAGGTCACAGAAGCGTCCCTCCTCGGGAGAGCGCGCTTCTGGCCTGGGCTGGGTCGCTCCCGCGTTCACTTTAGTATCTTCGTCAGCGCTTGAGGGAAGGGGCAAAGCTCTTAGGGTTTTTCAGAAACAGAGCCGAGGTGGGTTTGGGATTTCACACTAATGCATTTAAGACCGCAAGAGAGGCAGAGGAGGCGCGAGATATTTTTACCATCAGAGTCAACCCCAACACTTATTTCCCTGCGGAACGTGCTCTTGAGTAAGTCCCACACCCTTGTATTATTATTATAATTATTATTATTATTATTTTTCCTCCGCTGCAGGGCAGAGAGGATGCTTGTGGTTTCTTTTGTATTGAAACAGCACGACGACAAATGGTCACGGGGTTGTGAGGTCGAGGTCCCATTTCGAAAAGGCCCTTCCCCGCTGTGCTCAGCAGGGCTCTCAGGAGCAGAGCAAGGCCGTGCTGAGTCGCGGGCACGAGGAGTGACCAGGACCGTACTGCACGGCAAGTACCCAGGTTTAGAAGACGCGAGGCTGGCGGAGCTTGGGGAAGCCTTTCCTCCTGGGTCTCCGGGAGAGTGCGGTGTTCTGTGAGGGCCCCGGAGGGGCACGTGGTGGGGAAGGCGGACCGCGAGGGGGACTTACTGCCTGAGTGGCTCCCGGGTGGCTCAGAGCACAGCTCATTTGCTGACTGTGTCAGCGCCAAGGTCCTCTGGGGCCCCGAACATCTAACCAGTGAACGTGAGTTGTCTTGGTGTGAACGGGAACTGGGTCATTTTCAGCTCAGATCTGGAAGTGTCCGATTTTGCACGAACTTTGGTTAATGGGGGCTTTCCTAGGAAAGGGATGCTTTTGTGGAGACAACTGTTTAAAAAACATTTGAGATTTTTCTGCTGTCCCTTAAAATCCTGAAAGTAGAATTTCTATTTCAGAAAATGTCCCGGGAATATTTCCCAGGGTATATTAGCTTCCCAGCCTCTGCTTACGAATGGCTGGTGACGAACATCTCAAAATAGCCAAAAGAAGTAAGCGATGCCCTGGGTATTGAAACAGACTTAACATGACTTCATTTTTGCTTCTCTAAATTACGGTGTTCCGAGATGTCCCATAGCCTACCCTGAAACTTCTCTCTGGAGCTCATGTAAGTGAACCCAGAAGGACTTAAAGCTTTCTTTGTTTAAGAAAGCTTCGGGTTTGAAATCCTATTCCCCAAGTATGCAACCATTTCGCAGAACTTTTGAACTCTGTATTTCTGCCTGACATTTTGCCGCTGTAGTAATGATTACGGGCTGGTGTCCTGAGGCGGCAGGAGGGGAAGGTCACTCTTGCAGGGGAAGGTCACTCTTGAAGGTCACTCTTGCGTGACTCCCGAGATGAATTCTGGTAGGGCGGGTGGCCTTGTGGAAGCTCTGATGTCTTTTTCACCAGGTCCCATGTTCTACCCAAGACCCGTGACTTTGAGGGAGGCCGGAGACCATGCCCTCGCCAATGGGGACCTTGTTAGGCAGAGTGAGAACAGCCCTGCCCTGGGCATTACTCATGGACTGAGCACCTACCTACCAACGTCAGGCACTCGGCTGGCTGCTTGGCCAGGAAAATCCTCCTAGGATCCCAGAAGCCCACTGGGCACCCTGATGGGCTGACCACATGCATTTGTCATGTGATGCTTGTTACAAACCTGCAAAGAAGACATTGCAAAGCCTGTTCTGGGATGAGGGATTTGAGTTTTAGAGCGTTTCGATAATTTGCCCAAGGTCACAAGGCCGTTTCTTGGTGGAAAGAGATTCAAGCCCAGATCTGCCGGGTTCCCACTCCGGTGCTCTAACCACTGGGCCCTGCACCCATCGTTTGGCCCTTGTAGCGACCCTGGGAAGCAGAGGCTATTAGGGGTGATTAGATCAGGTTCCAGTGACTTGCTCTGGGCTCTGCAGCTCCTGAGTACTAAGCTCAGAGTTCCCACCTGGATCTTGACTCTCACATTCAGGGCTTTACTGACTGCTTCCCTTAAACTAACTGTGACACTGGACTGGCGTCTTCCGGTAAAAATAACACAATTGCACACAAACAACACAGGCAAACACCATTGCCTACCACACCAGTGCTTCTCAGCTCCCACTTTTCATTGCCGCATGCCCTTAGGCATCTTTAAAAGGAAGTTTCCGTGCAAAGATGTAGCCCGTGGAAGAAGCCACTATCGCCTTTGAGTTAATCCGAAATTACTTGGGAGAAGCAGAAGACAAACCTAGGGTAGGATCTGAAAAGCAGGTCGTTCCTACCTCCGTAGCGGTAAAATTACGTTCGAAGAATTCTCCAGAGAACGTGGTGCTATTTATGGAGTTATTTTGGTTTTCTGCAAAAATTATCTCCTTCTAACAAGGAACTCATCATTGCCTTGCAGGAAGTGCCATATTGTTTGAAGATTCTCCGAATATACATTGCTTTGCTGGGGGAAAAACTCATCATTATTCATAATGTTTCTCTTGGAAATAAAACGCCGAAGGTATAAGAAACTGCACTTGGCCCTTCCCAGGGATCACTCTAGTCCTTTCAACATTCCTACAGGTAGGAATAATTTCTACCTTACCCCCGAGGACACCTGACCCTCAGAGAGGCTGACTAACATGCCCAAGGTGCAGAATTAGTAAAGAGCAGGAAGAGGAACCGTGATGTTTTAGCTTCAAGCCAAAGCTGGGGCTCTTGGACTGGCGGGGTGGGGGGGGGCAGACACGATACTCTCTGTCCCCTCTCCCAGGTGGCTTTCAAGAACGTGATCCAGAGCAAGAAGCCAGGCCTGTTTCTGCCATAGGCCAGCCCTGCTTCCGTCTCCTAACAAAACAAGGAAAGTAGGAACTTTCCAAAGGTGCCAACAAGCCACCATCTTTGTGAGTCTCACGGATGTGGGTGTCCCTTCAGATACGTCCGTGATGCCAGGACAAGCGCTAATGGGTGTAAGTGAACATTACAGTTTGGAGAAAAACCTGCCTTAACCTGTTGGTGTCTGCTTCTAACTACGCCTTTGCAAAATATACACCAAAGCCACTTTGTTTTACATAGTCACGCGTCTCTCTTTATCCTAAAAAATGCTTCCGGAATCTGGGTGGTGGGAGCTGCTGAGATGGGAGATTTCAGATGCTGAGCCAGTCATCAAGGAAGATGAATAATGAACCAGTCTTCGAATTTGGTGTTTGCCTTGGGAAACTTGAGTCTTAAATAGTGACAGTAATCTCGAGGCCATTGCTCCGTGCATGGTGGAGCACATCCTGTGTCTTCACTTTTGTTCAGAAACTGCACTTTGCTATAGAACGAGAGACTTCAGGCTGCGCATTTCTGGGCAGTTGCGGCATTTCTCAGGTGTGCGAAATCAGTGTTCCGTCTTTATGAAGTTTTCTGGGCCAAGTTTCAAACACCCCGAGCTCAGCACCCAGCTGAGCCTAAAAAGCCAAGTGGTGGGGGGCGTTGATTACCTTACAGTTGGGGTTCTCTTTGGGCACCTTTTTTTTTCTTTCTCAGTTAAATGAAAAAGTACATGTTCTTTGTTTTTTCTTGTTGTTGTTGTTGTTTGGTTACAATAAAATTCCAAAATACTGCCTTTAGACCTACAGAGAGGAGAACCTGTCCGCCTTGTGAGTGGAAGTAAAGGAAAGGAGAATTGCCAAACAATTGTTGAGATGCATGTAAGTCATTCTCAAAAATGATCAAAAGCCCCAGGCAAACGGCCGGGTGACATTTTGTCAGGAACACACCAGGTCCTCACACGTGGCAGGTCGTAATGTGGAGGGACAGGCATTCACGCTGGCATTTTTTTTTTTTTTTTTTAGAGCCAGTGAGTTTATACCCACTCTTTTTCTTTTTTTTAAAGATTTTATTTATTTGACAGATCACAAGTAGGCAGAGAGGCAGGCAGAGAGAGAGGAGGAAGCAGGCTTCCTGCTGAGCAGAGAGCCCGATGCGGGGCTCGATCCCAGGACTCTGGGATCATGACCTGAGCTGAAGGCAGAGGCTTTAACCCACTGAGCTACCCAGGCGCCCAACACGCTGGCATTTTTATCGCGTTTGCTGTGTTGCATTTTACACCCCCCCAACCCTCCAGTCTCCCCCAAACATGCACCGGAAAGCCCCCCACAAGCCCAGACGACCAGTGGGCTGGGAGCACTCATTACGTTGGTAGTTGAGCCCCATAAGGGGCCACAACCCTGTCCTTCTGCAATTGGAATGGAGAGTCAACAGTTTTATTGAACATCCAAGCGAGGAGCTCTGCCCAGCTGCCAGAAAGGGGACGCAGAACCCGGGTTTCTCCTCCATGACAAACACCTATTAAGCTGTCAGCATAAACTCTTCCCTTACAACCTCTGACATCACCCTCGGGGCAGGCAGACACAGAACAGCAATTGCTGAATTGCACATGAAAATCATAGTTTTATTGTCTATACAACTGAAGGTTTTGCTCGGACTCCTGCTTCTGTCCGAGCCATATAAAGAAGCAATTCTTCTCGGAGAACAAATAAGCACAGTACACTATTGTAATCTAAGAAACAGGCACTATTTATGCGTTGGAAAGCCTTGCTCTCAATAGGGCTAACGGTCCAATGGTCCAGAAGCCACTATTTTAGCAGCTGGAGAAGAGAAAGCTGTAGAAGTCACCAGGAATGAGATGCCGAAAGCAGCAGAGTGGGCTGCGGGTGCGGGGCCGGGAGGGGGGCCCGCCTGCTAGTTGAGCACGCAGGACTCGTAGGTGGGGACCATGTACTTGATGTTGATGAAGGCGTCCTCCCCGCCGTAGCGCTCGAAGGCCTCCAGCGTCTCCTGGATCAGGTCACCGATGTTCTCCCGCTTCTGCTGGCTGTAGTCGATGCCGTCTCCGGAGTTCACTGGTTCAAACACACAAAGAGCCCCGTTATTGCACCGTTTTCTCCAAGACACCCTACACACCCGTCTAGGCATTTTCTCCAAACACTTGTGAGGGGACGCAAGCACGTCACATTTTCTAGGTGGTCCTGGGGAGTTCTAGGAGTGTTAACCAGCAGCTCTGCGAGCATGCAAAGCCCCAGACTGCGGCCGAAGCAAAGTCCTCTGAACTAAGGGAACAGCAGACTAACCCCAAGTGGGATGATCACAGGCACACGACACACCGCAGATCTCAGGGCTGACCGTGACTCTTTGTCTTGGACTCTTTGTCTCTTGGACCCTGAGTTCTTCAAAGTCCCAGAAATGAACACTCTCCTCAGTTAGGGGTTTGCTTTTGAATGGATACGCTTGGGAAGGAGAGGCTGAGCCCACCCCCATGTCTTTGGTGCTGTTGTATCTGTCTCTCCTCCAAGCGTGCAGTCATCTGCAGTGATTTTCATCACCCAGGTGTGGGGGCTGGGGGGGCAGCTAGGAGGAAACTGCCTTTCCTGCTGGAGCTATCAGATGGTTTCCCAGGGACCAGTCAAGGCCGGGCCTTGCATAACCTTGAAGGGCCCTCTGCAGCTCCCCCCCAGCTTCTACGCGGGAAGGGGTTCCCGGGATGGGCCTTCAGCGGCCTCGGGAGCCTGGGTGGGCAAACTCCATCTCAAACCATTTGGAGGAGAAGTACCTGATTGCACCCAACCTGTACGAAGTCTGCAGGAATTACGCAGGGGTGAGGGAGTCTAACTAGAACGGAGACCCTTGGCTTCCATCCAGAGGGTGGAGATCCCGTGAGGGTTCCCCCAGTAGCTCTCTCTGACACACAGTCATGATGCACTTTGCACACCTTTCCAGGGGCTTCGACCGCCCTGTGCTTCCAGGAAGTGGGGCACGGTCACGCCGCTGCCCAGTTGCTGACGTCACCCCGTCTTATCTCTGCTGAAGTGACCACCCCGGACCCGCTCAGGCCGGAGCTGCAGATAAAAGTCCTCATTCTATCCGCATTTCAAGTATGGCTCCAAAATGTTGATTTTGCTTGAATGTGAAAATTATAGAGGGAAAAATGGTTTTTCAAACTTTTCTCCTCAGTTATTTTGGACATGTACAAAAGGACTGAGCAATGGTTCAGACCAGTATTAAAAGGAACAAGTGCAGCCCCATACAGCAGAGATAAGCAGCTCTTTTGCTTGATTTTTCCAGAAACCCATTAGAGAAATATCACTGTCTTCTACAGCATAAGGAAAAGGAATCACTTTCCTGGTTAGTTTCTTTCGGTGGGGGTGAAGGCAGGCAAAAATATTACTACTTTTCAGAAAGTGAGATTATGAGTCATAAAGCTATGGTATATATCAATTTTTCATAACAAATGGCCTTATAATGCAAAACCATTGTCATTAGGTGGGGTTTTCTTTTCTTTTCTTTTCTTTTCTTTTCTTTCTTTCTTTCTTTTTTTTTTTTTTAAGAGAGAGTGAGAGTGCAGGCACATGAGACAGAGCGTGAAGCAGGGGACGGACAGAGGAAGAGAGAAAGAGAATCTTAAGCAGGTACCATGCCCAGCACAGAGCCTGATGCAGGGCTCGATCTTATGACCCTGAGATCATGACCTGAGCCAAAACTGAGAGTCAGCCGGTTAGAAAACTGAGCCACCAGGCGCCTCAGTTAGATGGGCTCCTCTTGCTCATGATGCAAGCACTTCTGTGACCACATGGAAAGCTCAGTTGAAATGAGTTTGATGTACAGAGTAGTTGATCATCCTAAAGAACGAAACACGAGTTACTGTAGAATAAGCAAGAGATAAGATGTTTGAAGAAATATTTTTACCTTATTGTTTTTGAGCAAAAGATAAACTTTTTAGAAAACAAAAATGTAGACAAACGCACAGAGTAATAGGCTTATTTTTTTCCTCTAGATCCACGTGGTGGTGGGAGGAGAGAGTCCTTACAGTCAGAAGTGCCCATTAGGGAGGACAACGTGGTATTAATCTATTTGGGGGAACTTTCCAAAAGAGAAAGTCTTTAGGTTGAATTAAGAGAGGAGGACGCGTGCCCGCAGGTGTGTATGTGTGTGTGTCAGAGGGGGTCATTGATATTTGTTACAGGTGTCAAGAAAAGATCTTAAGAAAGAAAGTCCAAAAGAAGGCAGGGCAAGAGAGTCAGAAAAAGGGGCAGGAGGGACAGAGACAGATCACGTGTGACAAGCGCGATGGATATCTTAGAAGGTATCTGTTAGGAACAGCTTCTGCTTCCCAAGATTCCAATTGGAATGGGCAAGCGTGTCCAGCAGGGGTCTTTGACTGATCTTTCTGTGCCTCTTTTTCCAAGATGGCATTCCTGATAGACTCCTCCTGGTCATGAAAGACGTGGACTTAGAGGGAAGGTGGCATGAGCTTTGCTTGCACAGGACAGCCAAGCCCATTAGCGCAAACACTTAGAGGGCACATGGCAAATGTCATCGGTGATGGCACTGAGTGGTGACAGCCTCGATCTCGTTCTTTATGGCAAAGATACGTAAATTAATCACTAATAAATGGCATCTTTTGTTGGCATATTAGTCAAAAGGTCAAGAACTGAATAGATCACGGGACACATATTTTCCTGATGGAGGCAGAGGGGGCTGGAAAGTCTGCACACAATGGAAAGCTTAACACACCCTGTTTTTCCCACTGACTTCCAGAAGGCTACAGTGACAAGCAACACTTTATTTCAATAATAACCTATTCTTGCTTTTTAAAAAATATTTAACTGTAGGAGTAAGTAAACTATGTAGCTTTTTTGTTTCTCAACAGCGTATAAACCCGATGATAAAAGAGAACAGAACAGAAGTTGCTTATTCAAAAAGTGAGTTGGAGTTGGCATATTTTGTGGTTGGCAGAATGTATATCACTGGGGCAGAAGAAAAGACCAAAAAGGAACACTTCCCTTATTTGGCATGCTTTAGCGATGACAGGGCACAATTTAGCCTCCAACCATGCTGAGAGGCAGGTGAGCGATGGGCTCTCTGTTTCCAAGTGGTTATATTGCCATTTCTTTGAGAATCTGAGCTGGAGCTCACCATTTCCAACACGCACGATGTGGTCAGAAGGTTCACTTATAAGAATAGGGCACTTAAAAAAAAAAATCCAGATGGTTATTTACAATCATCGGTTCTGATTAGAACGATGACATTTCAATTCAGGAAGCTAGGAATCTGTTTTATGTCCAGCAGCTGGAAAGATACATAGACGATGGAAAAGATATGTTTTATTTATAACCAAGCAAATAGGGACTGTAAGAGAGGTTTAAGCCAGACTGCTTTTCTAGAGGGTAACAGGAGAGCAGGGCAGCGCAAGGGCTGTGGTAATCCTGTTAGAGATTCTTCGTGCAAGAGGTGCACAGGTAGCGGTTGTAAGCGGCGCCTGTTTAGTGCCCTCACAAATGCATTGGTTGTTCTGTATGCTGAAATGGTCGATGATGTAGGCAATAGGTTTTTATCACCTTCCTATATACCCCTCTTTAAACTGCCCTGATCTAGATGCTTCCTCTTCCAGGCGCCCTATTGGTCAGAACCGGGATGTATGGATCCCAGTCTTGCTTCTGGCACCAGCCTGCTCCTGGCGATGAACTCCATGTCTCTGAGACGTGACTATGAGTCACACCTCGCCACCCAGGGCCACCTCAAAGGGATGCTACATGAGACACATCTGCATTTCACACAAATATCTGTGTGTGGTGGGCAAGGGCCAGCAACAGATACATATCACGTAGGATTTGGGTGAGATAGTCTCTTAGCACTTTTGCGATTTTTTAAACCATGTAGAAGCTGCATTCTTTTCCTTCAGTTAATGTGATTACAGGAAGGGAGGAAAAAGGCAGGAGAAGCAAAGCCAGAAAAAAGGGGACACTTTCAGCAGCTAGAGCAAGGGCTTCCCACGTCAGCGTTGCAGTTGGCGGTGGCAGAATTTTTTGGTCCCACTGAGGGTGGCTTTGGCCCCGGCCCTGCCAGGAGCCGTTACGATGGGAGGCCCTCTGTAGACCAGGCACTCTGCTGGGCACTGCGGGGTAATGAGATCCAGGAAAATCAGGGCTTATCACCTTCCTGAGGAACCTCTGAGCGCCCTCTTGCAGAACGCTCTGATCACACACACCCACCATGGAAGGAAATACAGGCTCATGCGCCCTCGCCTCACCGACCCTCAGGGCCACGGGCATCCCCCTTGCTGCTCGGCTTGTCTCGGTGACCTGTGTCCCGAGAGCACCTTCATCTGTGTGTTTCCAGCAGGTGCCCCAGACTTCTTTCTCAGACACGTGGACGGACACATCAAGGCTCAAGCAGTTACATTCACATTTGGATTTTTCTGACTTGAACGTTTTTCGGTAAATACTCTTAAATGTTAAATGTGTAGATACTCTCACGGGAGCGGTACTACACAAAGGTGTTATTTGGAAGGGAAAGCACTATTTAAGGCATCAGAAATATAAAACTTGTAACTGCCTACCTGGGGTGGCTTATTCCACGTGCCTGAACTATTACGTGAACCAACAGATGAAATCATTTTTAAACTCAGCCTGTACTTTCTGGGTGTGACTAAGAAGATGGACAGGCCCAATTTCCAGAAGGGAAATGCTTCTGTGGGTTTGGGGGATGTCCTGGCTGGAGTGGTCCTTGCTCCCCGGAGGGCAGAGCGGGACCCCCCACCCCTGTGGGAAAGATCTAAGTGCTTTTAAAAGCCAACGAACCACACACTCGGAGAGAAAATGCCGACTTGGGAAACTCGGTTACAAAGCACCTGCATGGGTCTAGATACAATGAGGGGTTCAAATGCTGTCCAGGCTCTGGTCACCTGATGCTCACTACTGACTTTAAAAGCTGCGACCTTATGATGTTAGCTCCCCATGCTCGGCAACCACAGTGGCTCATGTCGGCTCCCCCGTGTACAACAGCACCTTGAACAACAGGGGAAATAGCCCATTTCTCAGATGAAAAGACGGTTCACCCGACAGAG